GGTGTTGTATAGTAACTTAAAAAGTTAGCTTGTCAGTTTGTGCTCCCTCATGGTGGCATGCATGGTTGCTGCTAGTGCCGTTTCAGAGGGAGAACACAAGCAATGTAAAAGTCAACAGTCCTTTATCCTTATCACTTCTCCCGGTGAAATATCCTACATCTTCAAGGCCGTAACATTATTTTCTGAACAGCGCTGCTAACGTTTCAAGTTACAGTCTACTTCGTACAGTGGGAACTCCGCGGGGGGGGGGGGGGGGGGGGGCTGACCCAATACTACTACTACGTATAACTACTTACTACAAATTGAGTGCACTGTAGCACATAAACACTAACCATAAAAATCTATTTTTTTTACTAAAATTTACTATTTTTTTTTTTATATTTACTAAAAGATACATAAATGAGTTTAAAAAAAAAACATTAATTCCTTAGTTAAAAGCCAGGCTGCATGTGGGTAAGTGGTATATATGCTGTCAGTGGTGCCTGTATATATTTCCGTATACAAAGTTACAAACAAACCGTTCAACAAATGAAGTTGCCCATGGGAAATAATTTTCAACATATTGTGGGTTTAATAAAACTATTAAACAACACTCATTTAAGAGACCTCTGACAAAACTTTATTTCCATGTTTATATATTATTATTATTATTATACTCTTGTATGTACAATATGCAATATTGCAAAATGTAAAAAAGTAGAGTACTGAGTAGATGCATTAACCAGGTATCACTTACACTCTCAATCAGTTGGCCTCTACATTATCTTTCTTGACTCTGCTTGGAAGAATGAACTTGGCATCTAGCAGCAAAGTTACATATTGCAGCTAACTGAACACATCTGTATTTGAAGATCTGGGAATGAGAACGGGCTGTAAACTGTGTAGGAGAAAAATACATATGTACAGCCAGTGTTCTGTGCTACTGTAGAAACATGCTGGTTCGACATGGTGGACTCCAAGGAAGGCAACCCTCTGTAGATTAAAACATCTCATTCTAAGGTAACAAAAACACGATTCCTATATTCAGGTGATTATATGAATATTATATTCCATTTCTGCCAATAGATTCTAAAGAAAATACAAGATAAAGAAGATATGGATACTCTGATCAGGTATTGCATTACAGTTTATTGTTGTAGTCATCATTTGTTGCACTCTCTGCAGGGAGTTACAGCTTGAAGGTAATACAGACTGAAGGTACAAGCTACACCATAGTACATGCATGATGCTGTCATACTGTGAGGTTTCTTGTGTGGACTTCCCACTCCTCCCCTGAACACACAGTACTGGGATAGTTTCCCTCTCAGAGACACAGATCTACAGCAGTCTCACTGTCAAGATACCACTGAGGCAACACAGAGCTGATCTACAAATAAACCATTAGAAACAAAGTATGTACAGTTACAGTAGATGACTGTTCAACATATGAGTGCGATCATAAAAGGCAATTCTTAAGGCAGAAACATCTTAAGGAGGGAGATGAGGAATGTGATGAAGAATCAAATAGACATCCAGGCCACAAGTCAGGTACTTCTTCCTGCCAATGAGACTCTGAACGATGGAGGGAAATCATAAAGGTGTTATATTAAGACTTACAGTGTGTGTTGAACGGAAAGACAGTATGTTGTTATTATTTGCAGTGAACTGGGTTTCATAAAGTGTACAGCTGTACAAAAACATCAACATGAGGCGTTTTATTATGACTAATCTTTACATAATACAAATACGAGTCAGGAACTTAATGTAAAGAAAAGTGAAGGAGTTAATACATACTATATATTTACCAACGCATTCATTCATAGGTATTTAAAAATGCAAAAATATGCCGATATTTCCTGTAAATGATTAAAAGGCAAGTCTGAAAAATCTTGATTGTTGTTTCTATACCTGCTTGTGTGCACATCTGAGTGATTTAAGTAAAAAAGTTCTTTATTACGAACATACAGTGTAAATGTATGGTTAGGAAATGCGCTTAAAGGGCCTCAAAACATTTTTTTTTGCACTGCTTCTCTAAGGAATAGGGTCCAACATGAACACAACATTTTTGGTCAAATGTTTTTTACAGTGGGCATCATGGGAGATGTAGGCTATAGTATTTTTTTTAGCTTGGACACCAAATATCTCAGCCTCTGCAGCTTCAAGTCCCATGAATTCATGTGAGAGCAATGCTAAAATCAACCGCAGTCAATCAATCTAATGGAATCCTAACCACACAGTCCTTATGAAGCTAAGCAGCAGAGTGTTAAACTCTTAATGCTTATTTAGTCTTGAATATTTCGTGTTGGAACCACGGTTTATTTTATTTTTTTATCGGGCCACTTTTTTTAAACGTCATTTTGCTGCAAGAGGGCTGTAAACATACATCAATGGGGAATGACTTTTCCTTGGGTGACATACAGGTTAGGAAGAAGTTATTATTTGGCACTAAATCTGCATAAAAACAGATTATGTTTTCTGACACAATGAAAAAAACAGACACAAAGACTTTTCCTCTGCTTTCTCAAGAAAATCCAAAACATGCTCTCAAGCATGCTTCGTGAAGATGAAAGTGGAGGAAAGTCTCATTGAGCGTCATCAGCAAAATAAAACAAAGGGTGACTTTTCATCGAACAATCATTTACTGTACACACACTTAAAAAACTAAATTAAAACCCATACAAAATGTACAGTCACTCTCAGCTTACAACGCGATCTCTCTGCAGGCCTTGTGTCTTCTGCAGTGCCAGCGCCTGAAGAAGTCAAACACACATCAGTCCTTCTTGTGCTTATTGATTTGAGTGTGAGTTGAGCCATCAGAGGAGAGGGACGTCATTCCACTTTGAGGCATTGCCATCACAATAGTTCTTGTCTCTTTACTCAAACACTGTGGCCAGAGATCAAAGGATCATCTATGATATGGTAAAAAAAAAAAAGATTGGCAGATCTACAGTATATGTCTGAAGAAGCTGTACATGGTGATCAGGACACAGAAACAAAAACAACATTGTCCACCGCTGAGGTTCACATCAGCCTTCTGACAGCTTAATCTGACTGATGTATACACTTACTGTAAGATCATATCCAGTGTTGAGTCTTTGTAATTGTGCCATTGGAGCTGGAAGCAGCCAGAGAGAGAGATAAAGTGTTTTAGATCTCCTTGATTGTTCGTTCAGAGGGCCGGTACTCCTCCCTTCCTTTAGGGGAGGACAAGTAGAAGGACTGGGTCTTGCGTTTTAGGCGAGCTCTCTTAGTGGCCAGGGACAGGCTGTGCTTGCTGGAGGCGATAATGTCAGTGATGAACTTCTTGCAATCCACACACACCTCCATGGTGGCCCAGTCCTCTGTCAGCTCTGGGGGAAGCTCCAGTTCTTCATGGGACTTTAAGGAGCCGTGCTTAGAAAGCCTACATGGGACAGAAGAAGAGGACAGCTTGGCATCAATAGGATCAGAAAACTACATACACCAGGGTATGTGGTCATGGGCAACCCAGTCTGTGGGTGGTGGTGGTAAAATAAATGCTGTGAATGGTAATTACAAAAAACATTTTTTCTCACTAACCTGTAGTCGTATCTACTCATGTGAATTATTTATTATATTTTATCACCTATTTATCCAGGTGTTGATATGTGGTCACCTCAATAAGGCTTTTTTTTAACTTCTTAACTGGTATTTGTTGTAATTAATTTAAATAATTTTATCTGGTAATGGGTTTTTATGTTTTGAGTTTGATTTACCTTCTATTCTATTTGATTGTTGACAGGAAGGTTAGGTTTGAGTAAGAGTAATAAGGACACTGATTCTGGAGAGAGATGGAGGTATCAGTTTCAGAGACGGATAACTCAAAAGCTGTGCAAGTATCCAAAAAGCCTATCTAACTATCTGTATAGTTTGATACCACTGGGGTTGAGAAAACATGTTTTTATTTTTTGGTGATTTGGATGAATCAACTCTTTAATTTAACTGGTTAATAAAGATTTAACCCAAATAATTCTGTTGCTGGATCGTTAACTAATTTTGCTAACATTTTATGGTGTGTTAATGTGCTTGTATGGCAACATGTTAATAGGTAAATATTCCATGCTAACCTGATAACATCAACATTTAGCATGCAAGCACATTAAAAGCATGTAGTAAACATGCAAGCAAATGCGCATAAGCTACAGCTTCTGTATAGTTGATATTTCATTCAACAAATAGGTTTTCCAGTGTCTACACATTTGTTACTATTCTTTGCACTTGTCTTAGACAGTGGAGCCCCGGAAGTGACATAATCTGTCGAGTCATCTGTATACATCAACACCTTATCTTAAGCACCAATAGGTTAGTGAAAGAGAATAATTAGGGCGCCCGGTTAGCTCAGTTGATCGAGCTGGGGACCCATGTACCGAGGCTGAGTCCTTGCTGCAGCGGCCCAGGGTTTGAATCCGACCTGCGGCCCTTTGCTGCGTGTCATCCCCTCTCTCTGCCCCCCTTTCCTGTCTGTCG